TGGGCATGTTTGAGATTTAGCATTGGCTGAGTTTTTTCTTGTGATTGTAATTGAATTCAAAGAAAGATTTTGTAATTGTAACGAGACCCAGACCCTGGAAATTAGAAATACAAGAATCATTATTTACACCGCTATAAGAATTGTGTCTGTAAATGTAGCCATTTTGATTCAATGTGCACTTTTACATTTGAAACTGCCATGACTTCTTCCTGGCAAGATGCCCTTGTGTCCAAGAGTAGGATTGGCACAGTAGACTTGTCTAGGGCATTGAACTGAGTCACTCATGCAGTGGAGCTGGGATCCTTTGGAAAAGAGTGGAACTGCCCCCACTGGCTTCCCAGAATGTCCATCTTTATGGAACTAGAAAGCCTCATTTTCCTACCACCCATTGGCTGGTGGTTTTGAACTGCTGGCCTTGCACTTAGCAGCCCAGCATGTAACACAAGGTGCCACCTGTTCACGATCTGGTGAGCTATGTCAATGTGTTCTAGTTTGTTGGAACAGTATGTAAAACGTTGACTCTCAACTAAACTCCCTAAAGTTCTCTGGGTTTGAGAGCCAAATATGCTTTGAGTTCTCACTTAAACTTAAAAACCAAAGTAGACCAAAACAATCAAAAAAAACCTGTCCTCTCTGCTTGGGTGAATAGTGGTTAGTTCTTCATTTTTATATTTCATTTCCTTGAATATGAAACAAATATCCAACACTTAGGGATATTCTGACACACATGCAGGTTGCTAGAGATCAGACAGAAATTAAAGTTAAACTAAATGGACATTCTGAGTTGGGACAACCCTTAAATTTCTTTTGGATTTATTTTAAAATCATAAATCACTATTTTTTGTTTTCCAAACACTCAGCCAAAGTTTTCTTGAGAGATAGCCTCCGTTTGCTTACTTAAAATAGGTATAAAAACATTGTATAAAGTTTAAAAAACATTGTATATAGTATAAAACATTTTGGGAAATGTGATTGGAACATATGACATAAATAGGCTTATCTGTAGATATTATCTCTGGAGAAAGATGAAGCTTTCTACTTGTGTAAAGATTTACAGTCTGTGAAACCCGAAGGGGCCATTCTATTCTGAACTATAAAGTCACTGAGTCATAATCAATTCAAAGACACCGTTTTTCTTTTTTGAGTAGATATTATCTAAGCTCCCCTGACACACATCAAATGGGCATTCTGTGTCCTAGCATGGGCTTCCTCAGTGTCCTTGCCACACTGAGTCCTCAGTTAGTAGTTCATGAGGACCACATCCCAGCAGGTCGAGTTAATTCCCTGCAGCTGGGGATCTGAGAGACTCCAAAGGCCACTGTAATATAGATGAGGGACAGAGAAGATAGCAAGAGCAGGTTTGGAAAATACACACACACATATATATATTGATAGTTATACTTATATTTATAGTGGTTATTTCGGGGAAGAATTGTGAGATGTTTGTGGGATTTTCCTACCCACTCTTTTGTTTCTAAAAGTTCTACACTCAACCTGTGTACTTTTAAGTAAATGTGGTTTGTTATTTTGGCAGGGTTTTTTACTGTAATAAGAAAATCATTTCCTAATTTCAAATATTTACAGTGAATTAGGGGTGCGTGCATGCATGTGAGCGAGAGATATGTTGCTTGAGCCAATTTGGACCAGGCATACTGATTTTTTTCAACCTCCCCAGCATCTTCTCCTGCTTCAAAAATACTAGAAATATCTCTTTCAGAGAAGGATATAAGTCTAGTTAAAATCTTCTTTTTTTTGCCAACAAGTAAATTTTAATATATTGCAATCGTATAAATAAATTAAAGATATGCATCTTTTAAATCTACACAATTCTTTATTATTTAGTTTTTAATAATTTTATCAGGGGCTTTTGCAGTTCTTATAACAATCCATACATCCATTTTGTCAAGCACATTTGTACATATGTGCCATCATTATTTCCAAACATTTTCTTTCTACTTGAGCCCTGGATATTGGCTCCTCATTTTTTTATTCATTTTATTAGGGATTCATACAACTCTTATCACAATCAATACATACATCAATTGTGTAAAGCACATTTGTACATTCATCACCCTCATCGTTCTCAAAACATTTGCTCTCTACCTAAGCCCCTGGCATCAAATCCTCATTTTTACCCCTCCCTCCCCACTCCACCATCCCTCATGAACCCTTGATAATTTAAAAATTATTATTTTGTCATATCTTGCCCTGTCCGATGTCTCCCTTCACCCACTCTTCTGTTGTCCATCCCCCAGGGAGGAGGTCACATATAGATCCTTATAATTTGTTCCCTCTTTCCAACCCACCCTCCCTTTACCCTCCCAGTATCGCCACTCACACCACTGGTCCTGAAGGGATTATCTTGCCTGGATTTCCCACATTTCCAGTTCCTATCTGTACCAGTGTACATCTTCTGGACTAGCCAGATTTGTAAGGTAGAATTGGGATTGTGGTAGTCGGGGAGGAGGAAGCATTTAGGAACTAGAGGAACGTTGTATGTTTCATCGTTGCTACATCACACCCTGACTGGCTCGTCTCTTCCCCAAGACCCTTCTGTAAGGGGATGTCCAGTGGCCTAGAAATGGGCTTTGGGTCTCCACTCCGCACTCACCCCCCTCATTCACTATGATAAGATTTTTTTGTTCTGATGATGTCTAATACCTGATCCCTTCGACAACTCGTGATCGCACAGGCTGGTGTGTTTCTTCCATGTGGGCTTTGTTGCTTCTGAGCTAGATGGCCACTTGTTTACCTTCAAGCCTTTAAGACCCCAGACACTATATCTTTTGATAGCCGGG